ACTTGATGCGAGCAGCGAGTGATAGCCAGTGTAGGGAGATGAACAGAGGAGTGACGTGGGCCCTTTTGGACTCATTGAAGACAAGACGAGCAGCAGCATTCTGGAACATTTGTAGAGGTTTAGTTGCACATGATGGAAGTCCAGCCAGAAGAGCATTGCAGTAATCAAGCCTAGAAATAACCAGGGAATGGATAAGAAATTGTATTGCCTGCTCAGTTAGGAAAGGTCTGATCTTCCTGATGTTGTGCATTGCAAACCTGCATGATCGAGCTGTCTTTGTAATGTTGTCTGTTAAGGTCAGAAGATCAAGTTTTCTGACCGACCTTGATGGGGTGATTGAGGAAGAATCTAGCTGTATAGTGAAGTCATGCTGTAGTGACAGATTGTCAGGGAGGACGAGAAGCTCAGTCTTTGTCAGATTGAGCTGCAGGTGATGTTCCTTCATCCATGCCGAGATGTCAGCCAGACAGCTTGAGATTTGTGCAGCTACAGTGGGATCATCTGGTTGAAATGAGAGGTAGAGCTGGGTGTCATCAGCATAGCAATGGTAAAAGAAACCATGTGCCTGTATGATTGGTCCCAGTGATGTGGTGTAAATGGAGAAGAGGAGCGGTCCAAGCACTGAGCCCTGGGGAACTCCTGTGGTCAGTTGATGTGCTTTGGATATGTCGCTTCTCCATGCGACCCTGAAGGACCTGTGAGATAGGACTCAAACCAGTGAGATAGGACTCAAAGAAGTGGAGGGAAGATAGGACTCAAACCAGTGGAGGGAAGTTCCAGTGATGCCCAGTGATGAGAGGGCAGACAGAAGGATCTGATGGTTCAGTGTTGAAGGCAGCAGACACTGTCGAAGGTCCAGGAGAATCTGTATTTATGTGGCACTAATTGGAGCAACTATAGATTATGGTAGCATTGTGTATAGTTCTGCCTCAAACTCAGCTTGCTAGGATTGAGGCAATTCAGAATCAAGCATTAAAGGGGTCATGAACTGGCTTTTTAAATTTTATTATATTGTTATCTGAGGTCCACTTATGACGTTTGCTTGGTTTTTGCATTCAAAAACATCAAAATGAATAAGTAATAGGCTATTTTGTAACCTAGTTTTGAGCCTAGCTGAAAAACGCTAGGTTTTTATGGGCGTCTCACACTGAAGACTTGGAAGTAAACGCCCACTGCTGTGAGTGGATAACAGTTTTGCAGTCGGTGCACTTGGGGGTAACTGTTTTGAAAACGTCCAACATTGTAAAATGGCAACTGGAATGATTCGCCCATACATGTCCGACCCCGAGAGTCTGTGTGTTGCACCATTCCTGTCAGATCCAAGATGGCACAGCACTGTTCTTTAATCTTAATCGGTCTGCAAATCCAGTCTTGTTCACAAAACAATCGAACGACCAGATGAGACAATGGGAACAACAGAGATGAACAGATGGACAATGTTTTACCTCATCAGCTGGAACGTCATTAAAAATAAAGTTTATCCATGCAGTCCTATTGGAATCCAGAGGAACCATATGCAGCGACTTGTCTTTTTCCACAACCAGGCACTGCACAATATTTTGTATTGCTCGGTAGCTCGAACCAGTTTGTCATCACAAGGTAGGCCTATGTTATTTAGCTATGCGTGAATAGATAGGCAGGGCTATCTTCTTCTTCTGCGGGGGTGGTGTTTTATCCTCTTTGACGTCATAGTTTCCAACTTTGAAAAACGAGTCGTTTGCTGAGGCTTGTGTCAATAAAAGCTTTTATTGGACTAACAAGGGTGTTTTCAGTTATGAAACTTACAGGATATTCTTATAATATGATGACCCTTTAGATGTCGAAAGCTCATGGAAAATTTGTTTTCTCAGTTCATCACCCCTTTAAGGATATGTTGTGGCACAATAAGATCCTCACCAGTGACATCACTTAATGTTAAGATGTGTGTAATGCCACTGGAAATGAGAAGGATGAAGTTAATAATGAGATATTAGGCAAACATAAAAGGTCAATCGGAAAAACATACAGTTAAGAAGTGATTGTTGGGAAAGTAACTATAAAAAACTAATACGTTTTGGATGGTTCATTAATGAGAAGGAAAGAGAAATAATTAAAGATGTCAACAATATTGCCACCTGTGTGGTTCTGACAGCAATTCTTCCTTGTTTTTTTCCGATGCATTCTATAGATATCCAGTTACGCAAAGACAAACATAATGAGAATATCCTGGATAGCGTAAATGTACAATATTACATACAATTGAAAGTATAACAAGTGGTATTTCTACAACTAGCGCTCATCTTCTTCCGCTCATCCGGGGCCGGGTCGCGGGGGCAGCAGTCTAAGCAGAGATGCCCAGACTTCCCTCTCCCTAGACACTTCCTCCAGCTCTTCTGGGGGGATGCCGAGGCGTTCCCAGGCCAGCCGGGAGACATAGTCTCTCCAGCGGGTCCTAGGTCTCCGCCCAGTGGGACGTGCCCGGAACACCTCCCCAGGAAGGCGTCCAGGAGGCATCCGGAACAGATGCCCAAGCCACCTCAGCTGACCTCTCTCGATGTGGAGGAGTAGCGGCTCTACTCTGAGCTCCTCCCGAGTGACCGAGCTTCTCACCCCATCTCTAAGGGATCGCCCAGCCACTCTGCGGAGAAAGCTCATTTCGGCCGCCTGTATCCGAGATCTTGTCCTTTCGGTCATGACCCAAAGCTCATGACCATAGGTGAGAGTAGGAACGTAGATTGACCGGTAAATCGAGAGCTTTGCCTTACGGCTCAGCTCCTTCTTCACCACAACAGACCGGTACATCGACCGCATTACTGCTGAAGCTGCACCGATCCGTCTGTCAATCTCCCGTTCCATCCTTCCCTCACTCGTGAACAAAACCCCAAGATACTTAAACTCCTCCACTTGAGGAAGGATTTCTCCACCAACCTGAAGTGGGCAAGCCACCCTTTTCCGGCTGAGGACCATGGCCTCGGATTTGGAGGTGCTGATTTTCATCCCAGCCGCTTCACACTCGGCTGCAAACCGTCCCAGTGCATGCTGAAGGTCCTGGTATGAAGGGGCCAACACGACAACATCATCCGCAAAGAGCAGAGACGAAATCGAGTAGTCCCCAAACCTGACACCCTCCGGCCCCTGGCTGCGCCTAAAAATTCTGTCCATAAAAATTATGAACAGAACCGGCGACAAAGGGCAGCCCTGCCGGAGTCCAACATGCACCGGGAAGAAGTCTGACTTACTACCGGCAATGCGAACCAAGCTCCTGCTTCGGTCATACAGGGACCGGACAGCCCTTAGCAAAGGACCCCGGACCCCGTATTCCCGGAGCACCCTCCACAGGCCGCCTCGGGGGACACAGTCGAATGCCTTCTCCAAATCCAAAAAACACATGTGGACTGGTTGGGCAAACTCCCATGAACCCTCCAGCACCCTGTAGAGAGTATAGAGCTGGTCCAGTGTTCCACGGCCCGGACGAAAACCGCACTGTTCCTCCTGAATCCGAGGTTCTACAACTAGACAGGACTTAATTTATAAAATATTACAAAGTCTTTTAAGAAGAAACGTTTTGAAATGGGAGAAAGGATGTTATAATTTCAAGAATGCTCATTGGCCATTGTCTACTAAATCAAAGTATGGTCAGGATTGGGAAACACCAGACTGGGTATTGTGACAAACATAGTTCCAAAAATATGGAAACAATAGAACATGTATTATTAAAGGGGTCATATAATGCCATTTTCATACAAGTTAATTTGATTCTTTAGGGTCTAAATGAAAAGTTTGTAATATACTCTAATAAAAATTCTCATTAGTATTGAAAGAAAACACAAATTTTACACTCAGACACTCTGGGAAAAAAAAAACACTCAGAACAGCTCTGTTTTCAGCACGCCGTTTCAGTGCATATGCCTTTAAATGATAATGAGCTTCACTCACTCCGCCCCTCTTTACTGCGGGCGTTTCAAAACAACGCACATGGAGTGTTGCCTTGACAATAGTTGAGTTGGTATATTTTGGAGAGAGAATGGCAGTGGGAGTCTCTGAGGACACATCTGTGAAATCCAAGGGGGTAATCCATTGACCGGAAGTTGAAGCCGGCAGGTGCTGCCATCTTGTAGCAAAACTTCACTTGAGTTAGCATTTCCATTGACTCCCATTCATTTTGACAGCGAATAACTTTACATCTGAGGCGTTTGAAGACCCCATTTGTCCATTATTTATTTCTAAAGAAACATGACAATGTAAAAAATTCTCCATTACCTTGTAGCTTATGTTATGGCCCCGTAGAAGCAGTTTTTTGTAAAATTAGGCCAACAATTGCGTCATACCCACGCGACTCTCTGTCGCACAGTAGAGAGATTACCGTATGGACAGGAGGAGAAGCTCGCGGGCAATCGGGGAAATGTGGAGGCAAAATGACAAAATAAGAATACCTAGCAAAAGTTTCTCCTGCTCCTAGCTCAAGGACAGCTCCTACTCACACTCTCCGCCTCAGGCAAGTTTCAGAAGGGAATGATTCAGATTTCTCATGTCACAGCCACTAGAAGACAGACGGGTTGCTCACGTCACATCTACGTCGTCAAACTCTGTTTGAGTTGGTTTGAGTCTGCACGTTAGGAACGGAAGTCCTAAAAAATCGCTAAAAATGGGCTTCACTTGTCTCAACTGAGTTCCAATGAGATGGTTCTGTCCACTTCTTATACTGTCTATGGTCCCAGCTATGTGATGTGTAATGTGTGTTGCTTTAACCTGTGTACCTATCTGCCTGATCCTGCGTATGTATATTCAAAGTTTTAGTTTGTTCTGTTAAACTACATCTCCTTTTTTACCCTCAGTTTTACTATGTTTATTCAATCTACTACAGAAAACCTTGTGACACTAGTCTAGAGCATTTGAACTTCAACGTTGGAATATTCATTGTATAGCAAGTCACCAAAAAGAAAATGAGGAACAAAACCACAATAAGTCACATTTTTTTTCTTTCAAAATTCACTCTGACCTTGTTTTCATTGAAAGCTCACCTATGACACAGAAGGGCTTCCTTGCGAATCGAAGTCGCCCCTGCCATCCTCTGTACCGGCAACAACAACCAGCAGACCAGATTCGAATAATGTACTCCAGCCCAAACACAATGATCATCACAAATTCCTACAAAGAAAGACATTTTCAAGTTTGTTTGTGTGGGTGTGTACAAATACAACTAATTTACATCCATCAGTCCTGGAATTGCACAATCATGGAAGTACTGTAGCTTGTGCACAACAGCACATTTAAGTCAAGACACCCCAGGTGAGTACAACATTTAAACTAATTGACATCATTATACCTTCTGAGTTGATTAATCACAGTACATTACAACATATTTTTGTGAGATGATATTTTCAAATATGCAAATTATGCATTATCTAATTAAAATTAAATCAATTTACAGAACAGAAATCAAAATATTGGATGAAGCCATCCAGGGTCAAAATTCTTGTTTCATTTTGTTCACTCTTTTTATCAAATTCTTAATGATCCCATAAGTCTGCAGCGTTAGCGTCAGAGCTCTCACTACAGGCCATCAACATCATACATATCATGTTTGGTGTCAGCTAAATCAATAGATCATTTTGCAAGATGTAAACAACACTGGTCCAGAAGCACTTCCTGTTTCAGTTTTTTAACACTTCACAAAAGCTGGGATAAAATACAAACAACAGAACATGTAACACTGAATCAAAAAGTTAAACAACATCTTTAAGATGTTTTCTTTACATGTGAAATAAAGAAAACAGTTACAAACTGAAACAGGAAGTGTTTCTGGACCAGTGTTGTTTACATCTAGCAAAATGGTCTATAAATGAATCAGGTCAATTTGTATGGCAATTATTACCAGTACATAAACCAGCAGACTTCCAGAAACAGAAACCTGGATAACATAAGCCTTTGATCTGCTGATCCATGCCTCTCACCTGTAGCAGGCTTATTTCATCAAATAACTATTGACAATATTCCATCATACTGTATTAAATTCAGGGATCAACCTCTGACAAACAATAGTGGGGCATATTTGGATGCAGCTACAGTACATTTTGATTTTACTGATCTGAATAACTATCCTTTGCTATATGGTACAATTAACATATCACCAAAATTGAATTCAAGTGGAGACTCATGAATGTGGTGGATGGCAGAGGAAAGTACTGCAAAGAGCTGCATGTACAGAAAAAGATACACTATCCCATATAATCGGAATTGTTAGATTCCACTGCATGCTCTGACAGATTATCTAAGGCTCAAAAAATACAATTACCAGCAGTGTTACAGTAGACTTAACACAAAATTCATGCAATGTTTTTATTTAAACTTCTTTGCATGAGACTGGTTTCATGCTTCATTTTTATTTTATCTTATTTTTTGGTATAAGTTTGACACTAGTTAAGCTCTTACCAAGATCAGAAGACTATGAGAGGCCATTTCCTGGTGATCTGGAATGGTAGAGAAGACGGACAGCACCAAGCAGCCAAACACCAGGACAAACCTACAAAAAAGACAATAGGAAGAAGAAGAAAAAAATATATAAATTGAAAGACTATTTTATGTTTCTTTAAGATTAAACATTAAATTAAAATTGACCAAATAAACATTTTCCTTCAAATGATGATCTAATAATCAGATGATTATCTGATTTTATCTTTATCTCTCTGTTTAGATGCTAACCAGAAACCCATGTCATTTTTGTTTTACTCTAATTTCCCATCATCAATATAAAATATGACATCAGGGAAACCGCTGTTCAGAAAATAACTGTGCCAGGAGATTTGCATTTTGACCCCTTCAAATAAGGGGTAGGATACATCTGTATTTGATCATTGGACTTCTACATCAGCCGCCTGATCTCTCTCTCTCTCTCTCTCTCTCTCTCTCTCTCTCTCTCTCTCTCTCTCTCTCTCTCTCTCTCTCTCTCTCTCTCTCTCTCTGTCTCTCTCTCTCGCATTAGCTTTATCCCTCTTGCTGCATCTAGCCTGGTTCTCACTGTCTTTTTCTCAATTACTTTGTTCATTTCCCAGCAAATTGTCATGCCTCCCTGCTTCTCTTTCCTTACTTTCTTGCTGCCGTAATCTTCTACATTTATATGTAGGTAAAGAAATCAAGAGACATTGAGGAAATGTGAAGAGTTCAGATGCAAAAGCCTCTAAATGCCATTTGAAATTTTCTTCTTTAATGGCGATTTTTATCAAACTTGTATATTTAAGTTCAGTGATTTCAATTAAATGGCAATGATAATTACCTATTAATTGTTATTTAAGTGAAATTACTGAATTACTGGCATTTAGAGGCTTTTGGAGGCTTTTGCATCTGAACTCTTCGTGTATAAACAAAGAATAAATAAACACAACTAAATAAAATACCCATCTTATCAATATGAAGAATTATTTTAAAAGTCTTATACAATATATTATAAAAAAGCAACAAACCCTCAGATATTCAAAAAAAAAAATTCCTCAAGTTACAGTACGCATTCACAGTAACAGATAAAGTGTTAGGTCACATGGCGTAGCATTTTTAGTAGGCTGAAGTAACTTATATCGACTACAAATGCATAAGTAATAAAAGGACTGATAAGACCAATGACTCAATGAAACTTTGATAAAACCCATCTTCCAAAACTAGGTAAAATTTAAAGATCACAGCCTGAAGGCCTATGCAACACATTCATTTGACCTAATACAAGTCGACAGAACTGTATAGATCAGAGAAAATACAACCTTGACACAGAAAATACAACCCTGAGTGACTTAGATGTTAAGCGATGGTAGCGACTTAGCATTGGTAAGATAATTTTTATTCTTAAAAAATACTCTACCAACCTTTTTTCTGTACTTTCCTGTTTTAAAAAAAACAACTATACTTTGCAAAATTATCATTAGAGCTAATTAAGCACCATCTTCATCAGATGTGTTTACAGAATTTTTCCACTGTAAGACTGTTGGAAATTGGAGCTGTGCATTGCTCTTGAGACTCCTTTCAAGTGGCGCCATGTGGTTGTGCTGATTTTGTCTGAACCTACCCAAGTAAGAAGTTGTAATTTAAGACCATATGAGAAGTGGCTTATAAAACAGAGCTTAAAGGCTTCATCCAGTGTCAGTGCAGCATTTTTGTGAAAGCAGTGGGCGTTATAGGGCGCCTCACCCTTTGACCTGCTCTCCACTCGGAAACAGCGGCTGAGCTCTGCTACAGAGAAACAGGGCAGAGGGCAGGGGCAGTGTTTTCCATAGACCGTCATATGGCAATGTCATTGCTTCATGTCTGGAATCGCTTGTATCTCCAGTCCTTCTTGAACAATATAATCAAGCAATGTCACACAAGAGTGCTGTATTTACAAATATCATCATATATTTGGCTGTTAGCACACGCTGCGGGTAATCACATTCATGCTAATATTCTGTGAAAATGCTTTTATACTAGTTTTGTGATTGTTAACTATTAATTCTGCTAAATCATGAAATGTTGCCTTGGCAACAAATTGAAATAAGTGGATTTACGAAATTGCTAAAACTAAAATTTAAAGGCAATTGGTTACCATAAAGATAAAGTTAAATAATAAAAAAAACTAATAAACAAACACAAACACATAAAAAATACTAAAATTAAAGTCAAATTAAAATGTAAAAATAAACTAATTAATTTGAAATACTATTAAATAATATTAAAGTATATAAAAATACAAAAATAACAACTTTATAAACCAGTTCATTGAACAATGATTTAATATTGAATTTTTTTTTATTTATTTTTTTTACATTTTAGGCACAATATTGTCTGTCAATGCAAATAGTTTCAAACAAAGCCACTGCAGAGCCATTGTGAGTACATACAGTAAGGTGGTGTTTTCGTTCCTGGAGGCTGGAACAATCTGTGCTTTGTAGCGAATCAGTTGAGTGAATGATTCAGTGACTCATTCATAAAGACAGTTAGTTGTTTAGTTCCTGAATGAATGAGCAATTCTGAATAAAACGATTGAATAAATGATTCAATGACTCCCTCACACAACCACTTGTTTTATTCCTAAATGAATAAATGTTTTTGAATGAATCAGCTGAATAAATTATTCAGTGACTCACTTGCCACCATCTGCTGGCATAACAATGTAACTGGAAAGATTCCCAGAAAAATGCCAGTTTGCCTGGGACTCGCCAACAAAAAAAAAGGGGAGTGTTACAAACAGTAAAAAGTCCCAGCGCCGTTGCACTCGGCCAATCAGACTCGAGGACAGGAAATAAAGGTTATAAATTTCCCAATAGATGTTAATAGTAGTAAAAACAGAATAAATTAAATAAAAATTGCAGGGTAACTTGCAATAACTGCTTATGTTTGAAATGAAGTAGCAGATAAAGTAGACTGCAGTAGACATTACAATTACGTGTCAAGCAGCCAGTTCCTGTCTGTTCTTTAGGGCTCTAGTATTTAAAGAGAGCTCTTCCACTCTCCTGCCTCTTGTCATCTCACTCAGATAGGACTATTTCAGTGCAGTGCCCAGGGCTAAACATTTCTCCTTTTTTTTCAGAGGAAAAAGGGAAAAATAATAAGTACATGAAACTGAAGTAGCTCCCCTCATCAATCATCTGTTAGCCCTAGCTAATTACTCAACCCAGGTCTCCTTACTTTCCCTTGTACCTGGGTGTCATTTACTGCCCTGGTGGGTGGCAGTTGGTGTCTGTAGAGTGTCACAGCCTTTGATGTTGAAAGAGAAGGTCCTAACATTTACATGCAGACCACAGTGTACACACACGCTTTCTCCCTCTGAAGTGGCACTTAATAGGCATCATTTTGCATAATCAAATTAATTTGTTTTGAAGGTGAGTGTCAGGGACGAGTGACTAATGAACCTATCTACAGTACAAAGATATGTAATTATGTCATATTATTTCTTATTTGATGTTCAAAACAGCGGATGGAAGACTAAAATTATATTTCTCCTAATCCCTGCATGTCATTATAATTTATGACAAAACCTGTACACATAAAATATGGTTCAAAATCCAGCCTCTCACAAATTATTAAGTCAATGGCTTTTTAAGCAACCAGAAAACAAGCAATGTAGAAGTGAACAAGTAAAAATGTTACACAAGAAGTCTATATGTCATACAATTAGATATAATTAATATGCAAAGCAGGGGAAAAAATAGACAAATCAGGTATTTGCACATAAAAGCTCTTTTCTTCATGGATGTGCTGTCTAGCGTTCGCTCTAAGCACGTGTGAGGCTCACTGGATCACTCAGCATCAAAAAAGACCCAGCAATCCTGCAAACACGACTGAGCTGTCCGTGGTCCTGCAAACAATTATAAAAGCTAGAAGGTCTGTAACGAATTGAATATGCAGAGAATGATCATTAAAATGTAACTGGCCCATATCAGTAAAGCAAAATGCATCATGAAATTCTTCCAAGCAAATCAATGTTTTTGTCATATCTACATAATCATTCCTATCCTGATCTGGCTCAAGCCAGTCCTGGCCCCCCTCCTTCCCCATCACCACCTGCTTAGATCAGCTAGGAGGTTCTCCATATACTTTGCCTACAGCAGCAACGTATATCCTGTTGCGTATAATTATGCGCATGGTTCAAGAGTAGCCTTTATTCATGCTAGCAGCAGCACAGCAGATCTAGTCTGCCAAGACAAAGCCTACTGTATGTTCTTTCCTCTCTTATGAATAAAATGACAGGATTGAAATACATTTAGAAGGTAGTAGTAGTTGCCCAAAGCAACAAAATCTCTGACTTATCCAAATGTAAAACAAAATGCAAAATGAATCTTTGGTCTAATAAAACATCGGTACCTTGTCAACCGTTCTCTGAGATTTGTTTTCATGATAATCGAATGTAAAGAGTTTTATCTCTAAAAACTGTTTAGATTATAACGCTAGTATATGGGGCATAGAGTAATGAAAATAAAAATCGCTAGTTTATACCACTAACAAGGCTCAAAATTGCCCCACACTAACACAGTAACATAATGAGGTTATGTAACATAATGAAAGAATGATGATATACGTTATAAAGACAGTTCACTTCGTGTATACAGACAGTGGAAAACAGACTTGATAAGTCGAACCACGAATGCCGTTCATACAGTTCAGAAGTTCGCTGAAGTTCATACAGTTCAGCCCACTTGGCACGTCGTTCGTGGTTCGAATTGTCGTGACTGTTTTCCCAAGATGGCTCCTGTCTGTATACACGAAGTGAACTGTCTTCATAAAAAATCTTCTTATTAAACGGTCTGTACACTTACAAAGTTCTCAATGCTTCATTTTGCATATAGGGACCCTCATTATGTTACTCTGTTAGTGTGGGGCTATTTTGAGACTTGTTATTGGTATAAACTATAGCGATTTTTATTTTCATTACTCTATGTCCCATATAGCCTACTAGCGTTATACGCTAAACAGTTTTAAAGATAAAACTCTTTACATTCGATTATCATGAAAACAAATCTCAGAGAACTTGACTAGGAGTTGACTAGGTACCGATGTTTTATT